TTGGTTAGCAGCTGAGCTCTTAAACATTGTGCCACTAGGTCTCCAGATATATATACAAAATAAGCCACAAGAGACAATGGATTCAGATGTCAGTCTCGAATTCCTCCCCTTTAAGAAATGTTCTACTAAGGATCAGGAAGTGTGGCCATGTGAAAAGCCCCTCTCCTCTGGGAGCTCTCTTTGCATCTATCTGATCTTGGAACTTGGCTGTGTTTATCTTCCTTATGTACTTTTCCAGGTCCCCTGGGTGGTGCAAACAGTTTGTGCTCAGCTGCTAACTGAATGTTTGGCACTTTGAATCCACCCAGTGGTGCCGAGGCAGAAAGGCCCAGCAATCTACTTGCGAAAGATCAGTCATTGAAAACCCTGAGGAGCACCTTTCTGCTCTGACACACGGGGCCGCCATGAATCGGAATAATGGCAATGTATTTTATACATTTTCCCGAAGTCCTTAATTTTCACATTTTTACCAATGATTTCTAAAATGGTTCTATAGGGTTCCCAACGTGTGGTCCCCAGACCAGCATCATCACCACCACCTGGCAATTTGTTAGAAATGTAACTTCTCCTCTTGAATAAGTAACTCTGGGGTTGAGGCCCAGGAATCTGTTTTAATAAGCCCGCCAGGTTATCAGATGGATGCATGCTCAAGGTTTGAAAATCACTGATCAAGAAGGTTTTGCTGCTATCCAACAGTGCACAGGGCTGGCTGCCTAAAAATCAATGCCGGGAAACACTGTGCAGCCTTGCGGTTATCTAATCTGAGCCCTCACGCTGCACACTCCTCTTCAGATTTCTCAGTTCCTTACAGTGAACTTCCTTTTGGAATCTGAGCTAAAATCAGACCCTCTTTCCTCACAGTGGAACACGGTGATTCGTAGAAAGAATGTTCAGAAACGATTTTATCCATGCAGTCCAAGCCCCTATCGGCTTTTTTAACACAGTCACATTGCTATTTTAAATCTTTTACATACGCACCGCTATTCAAGGTTCTTCAACTTCTAGAATACACTAAGCACCGTTTTCCAAGTTACCTGCTTTGGTAACTCCCATGCATTTCGCCAAAGCAGCATCACATCCAGGACTGAGCTCAGCACAAGGGTTGCTCAATTTGTTACACTGACCCAATGTCACCAAGTTCCCAGAAGTTTACTAGCTTCCACACTTGCTCAATGGTGTACGCTACAAGGGAAGGTCTAGGGGACAACTGAAGGCCTTCGAGGAGACAGCACTGAAGTGATGTCCCAATGCCCATGGGAACAGACAAGGCCCTTCAGAGCTGTGACAGCTGCATGCAGTTGCCTAGGATGAGAAAAGAAGCCTAGCTCAGCAAGGTCAGCTTTTATGTCCCACACTTTAGGGGAGACAACCCGAGTATCCTGATCTAGGCCTTGGACACCCCGAGAACCCCACTAGTCCCCCCCATCCTTGGGTGGAAGGTGCACTCTTCATGGGCAGGCAGGGGCTATGTCTGCAGACATGGCAGACTGCACTTTCAGGATGGTCCCCTGGGTGAAAATCTGACACATTGTAACTGGCCTATGAAGAGCCTGATGTTCAGCATCAAGATCATTTGTGGGGGAAAGGATATCACTGGGTCCCTAAGAGCTCAAACTGAAAAAGCATCTCAGCAGGAAGCCATTTCTAAGGTGGCTTTTTAGGGTTTCTTCTCTGAGAGGCGAAAGGTTAACACCTGCAGCTTTAGTTTGAGCTGGGCGTCTAGTTAGCTGTCACTGAGGTGTTGTTGTTGTTAGGTGCCGTCAAGTCGGTTTCGACTCACAGCAACCCTATGTGCAACAGAACGAAACACTGCATCATCCTCACAATCGTTGATGTGCTTGAGCCCGTTGTTGCAGCCACTGTGTCAATCCATCTGGTTGAGGGTCTTCCTCTTTTTCGCTGACCCTCTACTTTACCAAGCATGATGTCCTTCTCCAGGGACTAATCCCTCCTGATAACATGCCCAAAGTATGTATAAGACTTAGTCTTGCCATCCTTGCTTGCTTCTAAGGAGCATTCGGGTTGTACTTCTTCCAAGACAGATGTGTTTGTTCTTTTGGCAGTCCAGGGTATATTCAGTATGTACCATACATATCAGTGAGGTAAATGGTCCCAAAGCTGAAGGCAGGCAGCAAGGATTCCAATAAAAAGAAATGAAGTACTAATACACACTACAACATGAATGAACCTCAAAAATGCTAAGTGAAAGAAGCCAGTCACAAAAGTCCAGGTGTAGTATGATCCATTTATATGAAATGTCCGAGAATAGGCAGATCCACAGACAGAAAGCAGATCAGTGGTTGCCTGTGGCTAGGGGAATGGGAAGGTGGAAGAACTAGGGGGTAATGGATGCAGGGTATCTTCTTGGGTAATACAAATGTTCCAAATGTTCTAAAATTGATTGCGGTAATGGACATGACACTACACTCTGTGCCTACAACAAAAGCCATTTACTGATACACTTTCAATGGGTAAATTGTATGGTATATAAATTGTATCTCAATAAAGCTGTTAAGAATGTTTAACATCATTTACTGTGGAAGAGCTAATACTGGCTTCTAAGGGTTACAGATCAGACCAGTTTCCAAACAAATTTAAGGCAACAGCACGGTTGCTTGCTCAAGCCCTGTCTATATCCCTCCACAAAATTCCATCACACAAAGTGGGCAAGATGCCAGAATTTTACCACTTAGATCAAAATATAAACAAGACAAAATAGGTTGACTGTTTAAGCATAGCGAAGTTAGGCAAACCAAAAAACCAAACCCGTTGCCATCAAGTCGATTCCGACTCAGCGGCCCTACAGGACATAGTAGTACTGGCCCATAGGGTTTCCAAGGAGCTCCTGCTGGATTCAAACCGTTGACCTTTTGGTTAGCAGCTATTAACCACAAGGCAGAAGGAAATATAGGGCTGTTTCAGGAAGGTTTTAAAACATGGATAAGGTAAGGGTCATCAGCCTTACGATAAAGTGAGAAGTAGACCAGGTATGAGAACATAATATTTGAACACACATTCATTCTTATGTAAGAAAATATAATAACCAATTTTTCCCAACTTCTAATTCCTTAGTGAAATGTTACGGATTGAATCGTGGCCCCTCAAAATGTGTTGTAAATCCTAACCTCTATGCCTCAGTTAAAGGGGCCCTAGTGGTACAGCGGTTAAAGTGCTCAGCTGCTAACCAAAAGTTTGGCAGTTCGAACCCACCAGCCACTCTGCAGAGGAAAGATGTGGCACTCTGCTTCCAGAAAGACTTACAGCTTTGGAAACCATATGGGGTCACTATGAGTCAGAAGACTGAAGGCAGTGGTTTTGGGATTATGCCTGTGGTTATAACCCCATTTGCGAGTGGCTCTTTGTTATGTTCATGAGACAGGACTAGTGTAGGATGCATTTTGAGGCAATCTCTTTTGAAATGTAAGAGATTAAATGCAAACTAGCCAGCAGAGATGGGGAAGAGGGGTGTCAAGCCACATGAAGATCGCCCAGGAGCAGAAGCTGAAGAGACAAGGTCCTTCCTCCAGAGCAGAGAAAGAAAGCCTTCCCTTAGTGTCGGCACCCTGAATTCAGACTTCCAGCCTCCCAAACTGTGAGAAAATAAATGTTTGTTAAAGCCACCCACTTGTGGTATATAACGAAGACATTTTACTTTATAAAGCATACCATCTACTTCCCCAAGAGTGAAGCATAAGCATTATTTTTTAAACAAGTGGTAGATGGTCGAGAGAGCCATTTTGCTGTATCCTTTGATGTGATGTCAAGGCAAAGAGCTGGACTTCATCTTGGTTGCTTCCTTTAAGCGAAATCCCCATCAACAGGGAGGAAAATTGGAACAGGAGGAATGAATGAGCCCCGAAGAAAACAGCCCTCCACGCGTTTTTACTCCTAATCACCCACAGCTGCCACACACGCAATGCAGCACCCAACAGACGTACTCATTGGTGGCCTAGGCACCTACCACTTCAGTCTCCTTAGAGAAATAACATTTTTTTTTTTCAAATTACAAATTTTAAATTACAAAACTCCTTTATTAACATGACTGGCCCTCCCCAGGCATGGAGGCTGAGGCAAGGTGTCTGACCCGAAAGCGCGTTCACAGGTCAAGTGGGGATCACGCCCACCAGCCCTATGGGGGCATCAGTAAGGGCACAACCCAAGGACTTATCCACAACCGTACTCTGAAGGAGCTCCAATTGTTAGGGAGGGTGGCTATGAGTCGGAATCGACTTGACGGCGGGTTTGGTTTTTTTTTGGTTATTTATGAGCTAATTGTCTCTGGGTGGAAAAAATGGATAATGTGCTCGGCTGCTAACCCAAAGGTTGGAGGTTCGAGTCACCCAGAGGCACTTCGGCAAAAAGGCCTCGTGATTTAGTTCTGAAAAACCAGGCATTGAAAACCCTATGGAGCACAGCTCTACTCTGACACGCACGGGGTGACGATGAGTCGGAACCCACTTGACAGCAATTGCCACGAGCCAGTTTGAGAAAGGGCTACTTTGTTGTATTAGACAGGAAGCTATTTTATTTCCCATCCAGTTCAGACTTGGAAAAGTAACACCTTATTTCTTCCGTTAAGGATCAGCTTTCTCCGTGTGGGCTTCAGGAACGTGGCAGTGAGAGCTCATCAATCATTTCATCTCTGAGACCTTTGGACAAACGTTTGCAGTTTTCACAACCCGAGCCTGGTGGTCCCTCTGGCGAGCCCGTCGGATCTGGTAGCCGGCCACTCTAACCTCGGACCGGGGTGGCCCCGGGGAATGAGATACGCAGAAAACACGGCTCTTTAACGGGAGCAAACACGCTGAAGGATCAGAACATACTCGCAACTCCTGCCACATCGACAGGTGTCATTCTTACTTTATTGAAGGAAAAAGAAGGGGGGGAGGGACAACAATAATTTTCATAATACAAAGAAGACAAGTGAGCACTGCGCAAAAAAAAAAAAAAAAGGCTGAGTGTGTACTTGCCACCAGTCTGCTCTGCAGCTCTGTAATTAGTAAATTTAATGCAGTTTGTCATTTGTATTACTATTTAGCCAATTTAGAGTTGGCAGAATTAGGAATTAGGAATCACCAAAAATGTACTATAACTAAGATGAAAACCTAAATAACCCATAAAAAAATCGCTTAAAAATAAACCATAAATATGTGATGCACTTTAGTGTAACAAAACCATTTTTGTAAACATTTTCTCCAACATAGCATGTGCATGAGAAAAAAAAAGTAAGAACACCTCACTCAATAGAGAGTTACTCTGATTTAAATACACAAAGGTTATTATTGATTAAAGCTTTCACTAAGCCTAGAGACCTATTTGTGTTTTTGTTTTGCCCTGTTTTGAGGGGCACTGCTTCAATAAGAGTTCAATGTTCCATTCGTAACATAGTATTGCCATAATACTGTTTTCTTTTGTCATTTTGCCATCTTGGCACTTCTGTGGAAAAGTCACTACCCTGCAGAAGGGAAAAAAAGGCATTCCTTCTCTAAAAGAATCTGAAATGTCAACAGTTCACAATCTTTCACGGAGAAACCTCATGGGATGCCTGCATCAAGCTACAGTGACAATCTGGTTTACCAGGCAGTGATCTAAGAAGTGAGGACCACACCAGCCAAGTGAAGCATCCCCAGGAACCCAGTCCTACGAGGACCAACGAATGGCTGTCTGGCTTCAGTAAGTTAAGCCCAGCAATTAAGTTCAACTCAAACACCAAGGCAGTGCCAAGTGGGTGCCTGGCACTGGGAAATGTATGACAGGTACAGTTCTTACTTGAGGTCAAACCCCATTGCCATGACCTTGTAAGGGAAATCTAGTTTTCGTCAGGTTCCAAATACTCAGTAATTCCAGTGAAATGCCATTTGCATTATTTGTACACCACCACTTGATTTACACACATTGAAGGGCAGGTCTGTGGATCATGTAAGAAAAAGATGCCACACTGCCGTATCCCCCCCTTTTTTTCCATTATCGGCACCAGAAATTTAGTATTTCTTCAAAGACACCTCCTCTCCTTTTACTTCTAATGCCATGGGAGGGGGCCACAATTAACCATGCCACCCGGTTCTTCTTCCTTTTTGTACACACACCCGGTTTCCCTGGGACACACATCATCTTACCAGAGCAAACACGCACTTACAGGAACCCATCAGCAGGAATTTGCTTTTGACCAGTCCTATGGGAATGGAATCTGGCCTATTTCAAGTCCTTCCAAAGGTGGGATTAACTGTTTAACTGTCTCTATATGAATATAAATTAGTAGAAGAGAACCAGTTCTTTCTGCTTTGGCCATTAGTACTACTCCCAAAGTCATACAAATGGAAAAACAAACTATTTCCCTCTCCTTGTCTCTCCAAAAGAAAGTAAAGCTTTCTCTGGTCTTTGTAGGTGTGTAGCAATGATTGTTGTGCTTGCGTTTGTGAGTGCGTGTATTTTCAGTCTGTATGCTGCTGAAGTGAGCACAGTGAGCGTGCATAGTTTTTTACCAGAGATTTGCAGCTCACAGGAGAGCCTTTGGCAAAAATGCTGAACGAGAAGAATGGAATGACAGCAGCTGGAATGGATGCCGAACGGGCCAAGAAAGCTGGGCACAGACTTGGCAGATAGGTGTAAATGATTGCTACATTTTGGTGCGAGGGAAAGGAAAAACCCCCAATTTCATGTCATAAAAGAAAATTAACCACAAAGGAGGAAGATGAAGCCTATGAGACGCCAAGCTTCTGTTTAGGGAATGAATAGTTTAGAGCAACCGTCACACAATACTCCCAACTCAAGACTCAAGATAAGACAAAAAGCAAGATGGCGGAATCACGACACTATCTAGAGATTAATATACTCAAAGGAGTTAATGATCACGAAGCCACTAAACAAATTATTACTCAAGACATTTATTACAAATGTCATGGACATTTTCATAAAGTAAAATTGGTTTAAAAAACAGCGAACAGGAGCGCAAGTGAGAGAAAGAGAAAAGCCAGGGCTTGGCTTTTATACCTAAAACACAGGAAGATGCCGTTTTATGAATAAGCAGTATTTTAACTACATTCTTAAAATAGTTTTAGTGCATTGCATTTTTAGAAAAGGGAACTACCCCCACCCCTAGGAAAAAGTTCCTACAACACTGAACAGTTTGTGTGACTATTCTAATGTGACCGTCTGTCTGCTACCAAACCCCGAATGGAGGACGAGGAGATTTCTGTGCTGTAGGCTACCACGGCCCACCAACCGCTAATGGCGAATCTGGTAAAAATGAAGCGCCTGCTTTCCAAGCTCAGAAAGTAGATTGCATTAGTCAGCATCAGAAAGCCATAAGGCTATTTCCCCATTTTCATGGACAATTTTCCTCGGGCCTGCTGAGACTTGTGACAAATCAACAGGCAAACTTCAATCTGACAGTTTTGGTATTAAGATTAAATTAAACATTAATGTTTTCCTCCAAAAACATAGAAACTAAACCACCTCTTAATGCATTGAAAACAATGAGGTAGGCAAAAAAATAAACATGTGGTTTGGAAATTTTTTTTTTTTTTTTTCCTCCCGCAAGTGCAGACTGTGGTAAAACAGAACAATTGTTGCACTTCCAGGTTTAAACAAAAATTAAACCCTAACTGAGGCAGTGCTAATACTGTGGCACAATGAAGTTCTGGCTGTTAAACAAAACGCACACATCTTCTTTTCTCTCTCTTTTTTTAAAGAACCATCTGCACATGATTTAGGCAAAACCTGGTACACAGAGAATGACCGACTTCTTGGCCAGGCCAAAAAAAAAAAAAAAAAATCCAAGAAACAAAATGGGACCCCTTAACCCACCCGCCCCGCCTCCCAAGTCCCACCCACAAAAAAAGTTATCCTAGTAACTGTGTCTTTCACATTTTATAAATATTAACTTCTTAAACCTGCACCTTCTTTGTCCACATATCGTCACATTACAAAAAAGAAATGTCAATTAAATACATTGTTAATGTTACTATATTAAATCTGGTCTCTGCGTCGGCAAACTGCTTTTGATGCCACCACTCTTCACCTCCTTGTGCCCACTTCCAAGAAAACCAACAGCATGTTCATAGTCTCCACCTTCAGACACCCACAGACAGAGTCATTCAGAGACAAGGAATTCTGGAGCTGAAGGGAAGGTGTTTGCTCTCTAGGCTGATGCTGGATCCCGAACACTCATAGCACCTGATGGTAGAATCGGAACAGCACCAGCTGCATTGCAGACTTGATTTGTTTTTGAGGAAGGAAAAGAGGAGAAGGGGGTGATCAACTGGGAAGAGAGGAGCAGAAAGGAAAGGAGAGAAAGGACCCCACACGGGAGGTGTGCACACGGCTGTCCGGGCTGCACCAGTGCAGGGCTGAGCTCCAGTTGCAAGGAATTCCAAGTTCTCAGGATCTTGAAGGACTCCGGAGGCCAGCACTCCTCTGACCATGTGGCTTCTACCAGCTCAGAAGAGAAGTCCTGCCTAACGTCATGAAGTAAACCTGACTGCTGCCACCAGACCGGACAGAAGCAAAGAACACCTGCGAGAGCGAGAGACAAAGCAGAGGGGGCTTATTGGGGTGATACAACACATTCCTTGGGGGCTATGCTTCCTATGGCTCCCCAGTCAAGTTACCTAAAGCCACCCCTGGAGACCTCCAAGTGTGGGAAGGTTAACACCTCAGAGAGTCTCTTCCAAAGGAAATCTGCAATGGTATCAATCTGTCATTTATAAGGAGTGACCATGTGTGGTCAATTCATATTGCAAGTGAGAGGGCTTAGTCACTCAATGGCTCCTCGTACGACACCACCCTGTGAGAACTCGAGGAAAACAAATGGCGTTTCTGAAAATGGGTTCTTTCCACCGTTAATGCCTTCTAAAAGAGAAACGTGTTTAAAAAACTCAGTCGGCAATGGGGATAACTCTTCAGCAATCTAACTTTCTCTTTTTAAAAATTAAGCTAAAATATGTCGGTTACTTTATTTGACTCTATAGTCAAAATAATATACACCCACTCCTCACTTACCAACACGGTTAGATTTCAAAGACCTGGTCATTATGTGAAAAATCAGCGTTATGCGAAGATGGAGGATGACTACATCAGATTACAAAATGGAGGATGACTACATCATTACATAACTGCCAAACCACTGAGAATCATGGGCCAGCCAAGCTGACACATAACCTTGACTATCATTGCCAGTGTTACTCTTGCCTCACACCTTGACATTCGTTCCTGCCAGATGCATGTCATTAACACACGGAACAGTTGGAGAGTAGATTCTTCACTATTGTCATAAATGTGAAATGTCAAATAATGAGATAGTTGGTAAGTGAGAAGTAGCTGTAATTTACTTCTATGCCTTTTATTAACAAATCTTAAGGGATACAATACTAGAAAGGATAAAAATATTTAAATGCTTGAAATTCAGACTATTATAGTTATGGCTATGTTAAATATACTTAGGAAAATATCAGCCAAAAAGCTGACAAAATCCTGGCTTAGGTGTAAAGTTATATGGATTTTCCAAGGCGAAAGATTTGGGAGACACTGTAGGAAAAGGAAACTCTAGTAATGTAATGGCAAAACAAAATAAAATACACCCTAAGTCCACAGACATGTCTAAAAAGTGACTACTACAGAGTCCCTTGCTGAATTTGGAGCCCTGGTGGTGCAGTGTTAAGAGCTCGGCTGCTAACCAAAAAGGCTGGCAGTTTGAAGCCACCAGCTGCCCCCTGGAAACCCATGGGGCAGTTCTACTCTGTCCTATAGGGTTGCTATGAGTTGGAATCGACTCTACGGTCCCGGGTTTGGTTTGGTTGTTTTGATGTATTTATTTCAGAATCTATCAAAACCCCAAGGAAAGGCTTCACCAAATTCCGAGGGTAATAAGCCATGGCTAAAAGACAGTGGCAACAGAGAAGTTATAAGGACACCATTACCTTGTCGTTACGTTCACATAAGAATTTTAGTCTTTGAGCCCTTTTGTGCATAAACACGCCATCCAAGTGACCAGTTTCCACAGATCGGATCTCTATGGCCTTCTCTCCCCAGCCCATAGTCTGATTGGATCGAATATATGCTTTTGGGAAAGGGAAAAACACAGATTGTTAAAGATAAAGAAATAGCCGTGAAAAGATGTTGCTTATATAAGATACATACGTACAAATGAATGTCTAGCATTTACGGGGTTTTTGTTTTTGTTTTTTAAGGAACTTTTCTAGTACTGTGTTTGTAACTTCCTGGTGTATCCAGGAAAACGATAATTTGGATCCATGGCTGCATCTATTAATTTCCCTGAGGCAAACATATTTTCCTGAATCCAGACATGAGGGAAAGCAAGAAGAAGAAATAACAAATAGAGACAGTGACTTTAATTGCAATGAAACCAAAATAACCTGGAGATTTAAACTTAAAAACCATGTACACATCAAATATCAGCCTGTTTCCTTTATTCCTGAACCCAAAGTGGGTAAGCATAGACGAGGCAGTGTGTTTAGTACAGCTCTGTCACCTGTAAGAGTAAATCCCTTACGTTTCTGTCTCACTTTACTTTCCACAAATTAGTCAACAAAAAAATCTGGCCTATTCCCCCTGGATGTCGTAAGGATTAAATGAGGGATTATGAGGACAGTTTTAAAAACATACTTACTTGGATTTTGTTCACTACACAGAGTTACCACAAATACCACAGTTTATAATCTAACTTTCTACCATCTATTGCCAACCACTCTGTTAAATGGCCAAGGACTTGAACAACATGATTAGTCTGATAAACATATGCAACTTTAGAGACGGCTCCAGTCTTAAGAACGCTGCCTTTTCCTTGATGACACATACCTACAGAAGTTGGCATCTCTCCCCACTGCAGAACCACATCCTTGGTGATCCTGCCATATGTATTCACGTAAACCCCTTCATCTTCATAACACACCAGAAGCTCCATTCCGTCTGTGTTAGGGAGGATGATGATTGCATGGGGTTTGATACTACATTGGATCTAGAGAAGAGGAACAAAGCACAGGGAAGCATGTTTCTGGCTCTTTCCAGCCCAATAAAAGTACAGTAAGACTGTCTTGGTGAATGCACTGCCACCATATTCCTGGTAATAAACATAGCAACAGGATAATATTTTGGAGAACCCATGAGCTATATATCCCAAAGTTTATCTTTAACAGGTCATATACTCTACGACTAGTGTTTTTTGAGGCCCTGGAACATATTGGTTGTGGGCCCCATTCGAGAAGGTATGTTCTTAGAACCGCTCCCAACCCAGGAACCTTGTGGCCTGTCAGCAACTGCCCCATATCCATCCCATGTTAGTCAAAGCAAGGGCTTCACAGAGCTTGGACAGTGAATTTCTATTTGTCTCAGAACATGGACCTACTCAAAATGGCACATCATTTAAATACTCACCCCCACACCACGGGGAAGTGAGGCATCCCTGCTTGTGTTAGTTCACTAAGCAGAGTAAAGAAAAAGTCAAAATGAAGCCAGTCAACCAACCATAGAGTGTGGGTTCTTTCTTACGTGTGTTGGTAGATAAATGTCATAGACTGATCCTGAATCCACATCAACAGCATGGAATCCAGCACAGGATCCATAGATTACTTTCAACCTCTGGCCTTCCTCAACGGTGAGATCCACCAGTAATGGCTTATGTAACAATTCTCCAAACGACTACAAAGGAGTAATTGAGAGAAGCAGTAAGAAATAAGTGGTAAGTAGAACTTATTTCTAATAGCTCAAACTAGATAAACTAGACCCAAGGAACTCAGTCTATTCAATTACTGAGCCACACCAGCACACAGTAAGTCCGTCTTATGCTTTTGTCTTATGGTTTTTGTCTCATGCTTTTACTCCTTCCAGAAGCCGTGTTACAAACTCCCCTGTCCCAGCCAGGAATTCTCCCCTGTCACTTACTGCTCTGTTGTTTGTCCTGTTCAAAAAATGTATGAAAATGAAATAATGAGGACTTTCTGCAGCATATCATTCAACTATCCAAATGCAGACAATGGAGACAGAAAAGTTGTAGGAGTTACAGACTGAGAATTTCAGTATTACATTGTAGTCAAGGAGCCCTGGTGGCACAGTAGTTAAGCGCTCGGCTGCTAACCAAAAGGTCAGCAGTTTGTGGTTCGAACGCACCAGTGGCTTCTCGGGACAAAAGATCTGGTGATCTGCTCCCATAAAGATTACAGCCTCGGAAACCCTATGGGGCAGTTCTACTCTGTCTTACAGGGTTACTATGAGTCAGAACAGACTCAACGGCAATGAGTTTGGTTTTTTTTTATCTTTGTAGTCACTATTTCCAGCTACATAGATTTCTTTAATTTTCTGACTAAAGTAATATGGTGACTAAAGGTCATAATGTACTGCAATAGCCTGTAATGTAATGATGTACTGCAATGGCCGGCAATGTAACGGAGAGTCTCTGTTCTTCATTCATAAATTATCCACAGCTCACAGGACTGGGATGATGACGATGAAACAGAGTAGAATTAAGTAACATTTATGAACGTTTACAGTACCTGGTACATAAGGAAAATTAAAACCAGACCTCAGAAGATAACTGTCATTTCACAACCAATCTGAGGCAGTAACACTTAAACAAATATGGTAACCCTGGATTATTTCCTGCTTCCCTGGGGAATTAGGCAAACTAAATACGTAAATTTTCTAAATAACTGAAGCTTATCCTTTTAATAAAACATTCAAACCATTTAAAAAAAAAAAAAAGTAATCTAACCATTCTGGAGGAGAAAAGTCTCAGTGTTGTGCCCTGCACTAAAATGGCCTCAGGGGCTATGTTGAAGGTTTTGTGTCTAGTATTAAAAATGATATTATTAGATCATTTATGATATTTAACACCATAGTAATACTATTTTAAATTAAATTCATAAATGTGTATTTAGTGCAAACTCCAATAAATTACAAAAAAGAAATATTAAAAATACCAACAGATAACTGCTAATATTTTTTCTATGAACAACTTTGTTTCTTTAAACAAAAATGGGATTATGCTATACATGTTTTTAACTTACTCTTCTATTTATTGTATAATATACATTTCGTGTCGTTTAAGTATTTCTGTAATTTAATTTTTAATTAGTACTCAGTTATATAGCTGTACCTTAAAATTGATTACTGAATATCTTTTTATTATCAAAAACATTCCTAACTCTTTATGTACATTCATGACTTCAGGTGGAAAGTCTGCTTTTTAAGTTAAATGGAAGGTGGAAGTGTGTTCTGTCTTTTCCTCTGTTATCCTGTTGACACAGGGATCAAAGTGTCTGCCCAGCGTTCGGCTCTCTCCTCCCTACACTCAGGGGGCTTGGAAAGCAGATAACTAAGCTAATTACACTGAAATAAAAGCTAACAGGTCCTTAGCAATGGCCTATTTTATGATAAGGTTATAGATTAGCATGTAGCTTTTATATTATCAGTTTTAACTGTTCAGAGTTTTTACTTATACCCTGGCTCTTGGTCACAGCTAGCATGGCTGATGTTACTTTTAAATGGACTTGATTGATACCTTAAAGGCCATAAATTTGTGGTATGGCTTGGGTGCCCACGCATAGACTTCCACAGAACTCTTCAGAGCAATTACAAGAAATTTGATTCTTTCATATTTTACTGGGGGAAAAAGAGAGAGAGAGAAGCACTGGTCAGTATCAACATGGAACTCAGTTCTTTTAGCTGTCTCCTGCAAACTTTATATAAACATGTCTTCCCTTTATTCTACCAAACCAACAAGGAAAATGTTGAGAGGGATCAAGCCTCACAGTTTCCCTTTCCAGTTCTTTAAAGCCCAATCCAGCTGTCCCCATCTTTCTCCATGTTGCATTGGCTTCAACTCTAATATTCTGGATGCCATCCACAAGTACTTCCTCTAATGTTACTAATCTTAGATTGCCAAGTATTTTATCATCAACAACAACGCCAGGCATACACTCTAAAGTCTACAGGGCTCTGTATTTCTTCAAAAGGATAATGACAAGATTATCAGCCAAGAGGCTCCTGGATAAGAGAGATCGAGATCTCCCACGCAGCGTTCCCCAAGTCCTGCTTACAGAGACTGAGGAACACAGACAAAACACTCGTTGATGAAGTCTCAACTGCTGTCTAGTTCTGTGCATAAGACCAAG